TAGAATAAATAGTTGTCCATAGTCTAAATAGAATTATGTACAACAGGGCCTCTCTTTAAAAAAGAAACAAACAAAAAAAATCTCAAAAATGGGTAAAGGCGATAAAACACAAGTGAAGAAGAATACTTTGTTCAAGCTTATCAAGGAAATGAACTAAAAGTTAAAGTAAGTTAAAGAAATCTATTTTAGAAATAAGAAAAAATGATAACTGCAATTGAAAAAGTTAGGAAGGTGATAAATATGCATTAAGAAATAATACAATGTGAAAGAATGATGACTTCAAAATTATTATAGAGAAGTTAACAAATATGGAACTGAGACAAAGGAAAGCCAATATAACTGATGTATTTGAGAAAAACAAGTGAGACAGAAAAAGTATTCAGAGATAAAACAGAAGAAACCATTTTGAAATAGAGTAAATTAAAGGATGAATCTGCAGATTCTAGGGGTCGTGCTGTCCCAGGAACATTAGACACAGGGTGATCAGGCCCAAGGTATAACCCAGCAAAGTTACAGAAGAAGGGAATACATTGGTATTCATATTTGTATTCATAAAAGGGTATCCCAGCTGAGGATAAAAATATTCTGTAAGTCTTGTACTTCCCTATAGTACCATTCAATACAAAAACAATAAAACATTCTCACGAAAGTCTGAGAAAAGAAAGTATGACTCAATAATTTTATACCTACCCTTCAAATTAGAGGCATTGAACAGACATTGTCAAACACACAAGGTGCTTCTGAAAGAAATAAGTCAGTGACTAAAACCAGCCAAGCATGAGAAGTAACCACTACTTGTTTTTCACTTGAAAAATTAGTATGAGCTAAAGATATTTTAAATGTTTCACATTATGGGAACTCTGTTAGAATATACAAGACAAAATACAATGCATTTTTTAACCTACAATTTAATCAAAACATATGGAGCAATGAAAAACGTGATGCTTAATAAAAATTAAATGGGACACTGCATAAAGTAGCTAATCAGCGCCAGATGTAGGAAACATCAAGGGCTCCTAGGAGAGAGATGATCACGTCAGGTCATGGGGTAACACCTTGCCCAAAGAAGAAAGGCTGAAGAGAATAAAAGTATAGGTTTCCTTCCAAGAGGTTTCCTTCCAAGATACACTCAGGATGCCTTTTGCACAAAAGTGGATCTCGACATGAAAGGATTCGTATGTAATATCCACCTAGTTTCTGATTTTTAAAAACCTGTAATATTTCCAATATTAAGTTGAATTATATCCAGCACATTAAACTTTCCAAATTTCAAGGTGGGGTGGAGGGTAGGGGTGTTGAAAACACCAGTTGCATTATTTTTAAAGCATTATCTGATTTCTATTTTTTCCTGAATGAAGTTTTTCAGTCACTCACTTTTTATTGGATCTTTTGGTGGCCTCAATAAAATGTTTCAGAGCATGTTATAAAACAAACTCCACTTCAACTCAAAGGAGAACTTTCTAAAATGAAGACATGTTAATTTTTTGTGTTTAGACAGTTAAAAGATTGAAAAAATATGTCCCCTATAGATTTCTGTTTAGAATAGTGGCTGCTTCTTTAAAATAATAATAATAAAAGATGGGAATTTTGCCAAAAACATATGTTTCTCAATACTTATACACTCTTGTGGCCAATTATATTCTATAAAAAGAAACATACTTTTGATTTACTAAACTAGGAAATAATTGGAAGTTTCCATAAAGTTGTGTATTGTCAATTTGTTTTTGATATTTTAAATGAGTTTCACCTGATATACTCAGTTTTTAGTTTCCATACTGGAGGCAATCACCATCTAGCATATGGTATACACGACACAAAATGGAGCAGGCCTCAGCTTCTCAAGCAAGGCAGCTGGTAGGTTTGACAGTCCTTTTCCAAATTATTCATTATGTTTTGAGTTGCTGCTAGGAAAAAATGTGTTGCCCATCTCCAAAATAGATGTTCTTTTTTATTTTTAAGCTTGGGAAAGACTTCCAATAGAAAATAAGACAGATGGGTATAGGAAGCAAGATATTTATCTCTATTTAGACCCTTTTCTTCTGTCAGTTCCCTCATCAACAGAGTTTTCCAAACAAACAAATGAATATTTCAGCATTCAGACTTAACTCTGTCCTAGGATGTACTTTTGCTCTCATATAAAGAATGCCTTTGGAACAGTAAAAAGTCAAAACCACAAGAAGGGTTGGTAGATTTTTAACGATCAAAGTGGCATTTGTCTAGATTTTGTGGTAAAAAGCAGCTAGGGAAGTTACATTCCAGGACTCTTTCTGAGGTGTTGATGACATTGCAGATGAGGAAGTGAAATCTGGAGACTACTTTGCTCCATTGGCAAGTATGTGATTGTTTGCTTTCAGTAGGACTTCCCACATTGATGATCCTCAAAATCAAGAGTTTTCTTACACTCTCAAAAGTACAGGCAAGAAGGTGTTTATTCCAACTGTAAGTTGCATAGAGTTTCCAATTCTTTGACTCAAATGCAGCTTATAAGAGTCATCCAGTTTGGAGGTTTAAAATGATTTCTAAATTGGCTTTCCACACAGACAATCAAGTTTCATCTGGTAGGTAACGTAGTGATTGGTTTCTGAATCTGTTAGTATTCCAGAATGTGTATATATTTCTAATTTTCTTTTAAAAGCTTTAGACAGGAACTACTCCTTGAACTTTCTCTAAATTTTACATAGTTGGTACATAGTTCTTCACATAATCTATACTAGAATCAGAAGATGGATTTTCTTCCCCTTCTGTGGTTTCTACTTTGTAGAATACTGATTATGTTATTGCTAAGAGCTTCAAAGTTTAAAAACTTTTAGTCTAGTAACAAATATTAATGTAGTTTTCTATTATTTGAATATTTAATTCATGAGTTTACTTAATTTGTAGCTTCTCACCTTACAATAAAAGTTTGCATATCTATACTTCCTGAATTAAAATTGATGCAAAAAGTTGATGCAAAGAAAAAGCAGGCTAATTTCCACATTATCAGTCTCTTCTTTGGTGATCCAATAAGAGCATATCAAACATTCAGTTTCCCAAATTAATAGTAGTTGTCAAGTTTAAAGTATAGTTCTTCATATTTCTGAGCACTGTCATAAGCCATTTTAAGAAAGATTTATGAAATGACAGACTTTCCCAGAATAAAGTACAATGTGTCAAGAAGCTATTCTTTAGTTCCAGTCCAATGGGAATTTAAGAAATCATTTCAAAAAAGAATAAAAAACAGAAATAACTTTTGAAATGCCTTGTAGGCGACAAATATATCTCAATACTCTGTGCATATCACATTTTCTAAACAAGGTATTTTTTTATTCATGAGTTTTGATATATTGGAAATTATTAACATATTGTTCTATATTCCAGGAGCTTGTGAAATAATACAAGTCAAGTGGTCATGGTTTATCAGCATAAGGCTTCTATATATAAAGATCTATAATTTAAATGTGATTTTTCCTGTTAATTTATGAAGTTATTATCTTATTCTTCCCCATTTACTTCTTCATTTTAGATGTCATACCATAGATATGTAAAGTTATTATTAATATGAATTCTTACAAATGAAAAAAATTTTAAACTATAGTATATTCTTTAATTTTCTAACAGCATCAATTGTAAAAAGCATGATCAATTTAATAATTGTATTTTAAGAAAAAAATGCCTGCAGTTTATGTTCAAATTAATCATAAGCCATAAGCATACTTCAAAAATATTGAAATGTGAAATAATGTATGTCTCAGAAACTAGGAATGTGTTAACAAATGTTGGCATACAAAACTTTTTCACATATATGATCAGTTTTGAACTCAATTCATTCCTATAGCAGTTTTGATACGTCAGAGCTTTTCTCTCCATTTTATAGAGGAAGTGATTGGGGATTAGGGATGTTGAATAACTGACAAAGGAAGTACTGCTCAGAAATGGCAGAGCAGAAATTCAGATTGGGAAGCCAAAGTTCTATTTATTGTATCTGCTATCCATATAAGAGTACATTACATAACAATAATGTTTGTGAATGTTTCAACCAACGGGGGAAAAATGTTATGAGTCTGGATGGCTATACGTCAAATGTCAAAAATGTCAAGCCAGTATAATAAGAAAGCTTTTGAAGTTAGGTGGACCATTTATAAAGCTGTGTCAAATTGAATAACTTATTAAAGTATCTCTTGGTATATTAAAGAAGCAATGTACTAAATTAATTTATTCATTCACCTACCCATCCATTTATGCATATATCTATTTATTTACTTATAACACAATTACCAAGATTTCTTTTATTCAAACACATTTCTTGTTAGGTTAAGCAAAACTTTAAAAGAGATGCAGAAAGTTTATCAATACATTTGAAAATATTTTATTTTTGTTTACAAATAATTACCACTTAAATTACTGCAAGCGCAAGCTGTTAACTTCAGTTTTGCAAAGCCAAATGAAGAAAAAGATATATTCAAACTTTTCATGCCAAAGAACACGGCTCATCCCTCCCTTTTCCCCTTAGTGTAAGCATCAATTTACAGTAACTTGAAGCATTCTACTAAATTTTAAGTAGGCATGCAGATAATAAGTATGCAGCAGTAAAAAATACCCTTACAGAGAGCAGACTCTAAGCAGCTTAAAATAAAAGTGCATAAAATAATAGAACTTCTTAATTTAGTTCATAATCTTTTATATTAATGAATATCAAACATAACTAATAATTGAATATTTTATACACACAAGAAAAAAGAAGTATTTTTCTCAAGAAAAGTTAGAAGTTTATAATATTCATCATTCATATATTCTTTTACAAGAAAATTGTTACCTATTAATTGCTAAGTAACAAAAAGCCACTACAAAATGGTTCAGTAAAGTGATGAAAAAGTTAGGAGCAACTTTTACAGCAGACAGTCCCTCAAGTAATATTTTAACAGGGGTGAACAAATGTATTTCATTCAGTCATATCCTACTATGCATGAGCTATGAAGCATTGTACAAAGCCATGCGAAATGGATAGAAGGATGGCTACTTACCAACAGGGCGAGCTGTAGACATTACAATGGTGTGGTGAGAACATAAAAAAGAAATTAAAAAAAAAGAAAGAAAAGAAAATTATCAGAATGCATGATGTGTAATGTTACATTTAAGTATGGACAGTAGGGTGATTTCTAGTCTCATTATTCAAGTATGAACAGGATGTCCTAGCTTGATAAAAACTGAACGTAATTATAAATAGAGCTCTAAGAAAATAATTACTTTGCACACCGAGATTAACTCTAAGCAATTTGAGAGATACTTTACATAACGTCTTATTGTCATCATCATTTACTATAGTTATTATTTCAAAGATCTTTTTAGAGTTAAACAGCCTTGTGTTACCCCAAAGTTAAGAACCTGATGAATATAACTATTCAAGTCACAGGCTAGCAAATGTCATGTCAATAAAAGAAGGCCTTGCTGTCTGATTTAAATAGCAATTGGATTTTAAGCATGGTTAGTCAGAACCATTACAAGGACTACAGAAAAGCCCCTGACGCTGCGTTTCAGCCAGTAATAAGTTAAGATCACATCACTTTTCATCCGTGGACAGGGTAGATGAAAATATAACAGATAGGTTGGAACATCCTTAGAGATTTCAACTGAGTAGCTCTCTAACTACTGTTAAGCTCTTTTCTTTTTTTGGCAGAGGGCAGGAAACAATGACTGACAAATAGATTCTTGTCCATACTGCGAATGGCTTTCAAACTGCTGCTTCAACAAATTATTGTTATTTTTTATTATTCTATAACTTTCAATCACTAAAATCAGTTGTCACAGACTGCCCCCTTTTTTAATGCACAGAAACTGTAAGAGACACACATGGGCTTAATAATACTTTCTTTAAAAAGAATAATGCCAAATCAATTTAGATAGTAAACCACTTTATATAAAAGCAATGGACAAATATAAAACATATGGTCCCATTTTCAAATGAAGAAGAAATAGATTTAGTAGCGTTTGAACTTTTATTAAATCTTACATTTCAAAATATAAATTTATTCAGCAAACAAGTGTTTCATCCATACCCCAGTGGGTAAAGCTCCAGTGTGAACCCAGTGTAACTCTCGAACTTATGAGTAGTTTTGTCTTGATGACTTGTTGGCATGGTGAGATAGATATAGCCATTGAAACCATATTTATAGACCTTCATTCACTCAACAAATACATCACAATTCTAGTTCTGTGCAATCTTTGAAACTATATTGGAGTTTATTCTCTATGAGATTCATGGTCTTAGAATATTATTCACAATTAAAGGGGGGCGGGTAATACAACTCAAAGAAGACTAAAGCAATCATAGCAGCTGAATGAAAATTCTGGCTTAGTGAAACTCTAGTGTGTCCTACAGTCTACAGTGGGTTTACTATAGCAAGAGGGAGAAAGTAAGTTGAACTATGCACAATAATTTCTTTCTTTTTCTGGGGGGGCACAAAAATAACAACTAAGAACAAAACAACAGACTAACGTAATGAAGTTGTGCCTTATTCTGACTGATGAGATTTCTCTTGATTTTGCCAATGTCTAGTAGTAAAAGTACTTTGTGTTTCACTTTTGAATTTGCATTTTCAGGTGCCACCTCCAGCTGAATCTGAAACATAATGTTTCCTTTAGAAACAAAAAGGCATTTTGAGTCTATGATTGTAAAGAGAGAAAAAGAAAAAAACATGGTGAGAAATCATGTTTTAAAGAAATAAAATATATTTCTTAGTCTAGGAAAATTCCAAAAACATTAAAGCTTTATTGCTCTAGAACCAAGATAGTTTTCCCGACGAAGCTTTGATTTATGCAAAGCCAATTTAAGCAACTGAAAAATGGGAAAAAAATACGTTTATAAATATGCAGTTTGTGTTCACTCATTTTGGAGCCACTTTAAAAAAGTTCTATTAGATCATGAAATATTTGATTAGAATATAAACGCTAGGAGGCTCATTATTGTCTAGCAATATTTCTTTCTAATTTTATGTTTGTCAAGTCAGCAAAGGGAGCTACTTGCTGTTAAGTTTAATTTTATAGTCTATTTTCACCATATTTCTGAAGTGGAAAACAACTGAGTAAGTCTGTTTCAGATTGTGATTATAAAACTTCGTTTTCTTTTCTCAAACTGGCTAAGGTGAATATCATGATAAAATTTTAGCAGAAACATCACAATAAAACTTGTCGTTGTAACATAGCAACATTTCATCCTGAAAAAAAACCCAGCAGGTGGATGTTTTCAAAATCAGCAAATTAAACTAAACTGTGTCCCTGCATTAAATGGATGAAAATGGATGTGGCCTCTTGGGTCAGTTGACCCTGTTCTAATAAAACAATCCAGAGAAGGGCTGAACGTTTCATTTATGTGCATAGAAAAATGAGTGTAAAAAAATAAGCCGTAGATAATATTTTTTTTTCCGTTAACCTCTTAGTATGAGAAATCCCAACCGTTTTTCCTAATGGTAAAAAAGTATTTTTAAACAATTTTTACTCCACATTCTATTATATTCTGGAGATTTTAATTCTTTAACCCTGTTTTTGAGGTTTCAGTCTTAGATGAAATGCATACTACATAGATTAAACACTCTAATCCATTTACGGTACACAGATTAGGGGAGAGACCATTAAGGTTTGCTGATTTAAAAAAAAGAATCCTATTGAAAACAAACAACTCTTTCTATTAGTTTTGTAAATTAGCTTCAAACATCCATCCAGGAGTAGCATGCTTTGTTAAATGAAATGGTAAACCTGAAACTTTCAACAAATTATGAAAACAATTAGCTGGGAAAGATCTTAAAGCAAACAGACCACTTCAAATCTCATTCATCCAAGCATTCAAGTATAAAAGGAACCCTGCTGCTTCTACAAACAAACAACTCCTCACATTTTCTCACCATTTGTTTAGTCAGCAAATATTTTTTTGACAGGAACATTTCTTGGTTAGTTGTTTATTTTCTTTTTCCACTTACTTTAGAAAAAACAAACAAACAAACTTTGGGCGAATTATGGTCAAGTGAATTGCTTTTGCAAAGGACTGACGAGATAAAAGCAAACAAATATACATAAATATATAACCACCTACCGGAAAAGGTAGGTTAACTATACTAAAGTGGCTTACAAATCAGATTTTGATCATATATTATCAGTATATATATTCAATTGGTGTATCATCATAGCCTTTTGTGATCTGTTAGCTAACGAGGAATGAAAAACTTTTTAAGCAACTAGTTTGCTCATTTTGTCTAAGTTTATTTTATATCTAAGTCCACACTAGAATATCTGGATGGAGGAAAAATGGATTAAGCGGAATAGGAATGAAGTGATTGAGAAGTCTGGAACTCACCAGTTTTTTTTCTAGGTATCCAGAGTAAATGTCTCCTAATATTTACCTGGAGGAAGGTTTTTTTTTAATGATATGATGCCCAAATCATACATCTGGCAAAAATCATTTTTCTTACTAGCTAGAGGACCAGTCTGAGAATCCCTGACACACTTCTTGCCAATCCAAACTCCTCCAAGCCTTTCTCCTAATCTTATGAAAACTTCTGTGAGCAAAGCTGCACAAGGCTAAGAGGTCTGACTAAACAGGGTGAGATGCAAGTGAGACATGGATATAAACATGCAGCCAACTTCCTTATCATGAGGGATGGAAGGAGGAGGCATTAGTTAAGGTACTGGAAGAAAGGCTGGAAGATAGGGCAATGGATGTACTTGCCTATCTCTGAAGTTCTGTGAGTGTAAACAATGCCATGGGTAATATCTATTTGGCGAGAGTAAGTGTAGCTGTGTACTTGGTACTACTTGCTACCTTGGGCTATATAATTTACTCGTGTGGATCAACATGCGCCACCAGGAAGGCAGTTAATTCATTCTAGCTCACTGTAGGGTTAAGTAATGCTTTCTTTCACTTATAAGTAATTGCAGGGAGTCTATAAACGAAAATTATTCCATGACTGAGAAAGTGCATGATACCCAGAAACTGAAAGTTATTACAGGAGCGGCACTGACTATTTCAATTTTTTAAGGTGAATGAACTTCACAAATCACTTTCTAAATCAGATTTTCTCAACATGGGAGCTCCTTTGTGTCCATTTTTCACCTTTGGAAGCAGTGTTAGCTTTTTCAGATTGCTTTTTGAATGCTGAAATAAAAAAGAATTTCAAAAAGTCTACTAGTATAAAGTGACAATCTAGTAAACAGAAAACCAAGTATCTTTGAAATTAGTGACATTTAAAAGCAGTAAATAGTTCAAAACAATGGAAACATAAAAGATTAGTGTAAATCTTTCCTATTTTAAGATTTACTTTTAAACTACATTAGCTATTATTTATTAAATAAAAATTAATCATTTCAAATGATCATCCCTTCAAACCCAAATTTGAAAGTAATTTTATTTCAACTAAAATATAGAGAGGACACAAAATCTAGGCATTTTAATGTGATAATAAAACAGCATAAGCTATTATTTTGATTGTGAGTTCACTTACCAATTTGACCAAATATTAGTCTTCTGGTTCAATTGTATTTCACATCTTAAGTCTCTTACCTCGGACTGTGAGGGTAGCAGAAGCTTCCACCTTTCCAACCCGATTCTCAGCAATACACATATATGTGCCTTCATCTGTACTCATGGCCTTTTTAATTCTCAGTGTGTAATCATCTCTGATGTCATACCTGTGTAGAATATGAATTGGTTTTATTAAATAACATTGATTATATTTAGATAACACTATTCATTTTTCTCTTTTATACTGTATTTTACCTAAAATAACACACACACACACACACACACACACACACACAACGTTCAGCCATAAAGTGCAATTGCTTAGATTAAAGCTACTGCTAATAAGATCATTAATTTTGTATCTTATCTCTAGCTGTTTGATTATCAATTACCGATAATTTAGACATGTATACAACTCTGGCTGCATCAAAACTCTCAAAGGTATTATTAACACTTTGACTTTTTTTCGGTAGCTCTTACATAGTAAGAAAACAGTGTATAGTTCAGTTTCTTGGTGAGTTATATTTTGTAAGTTACACTGCATTCAAATATATGATTTATTTTTTTGGTACCTTGAAGATAATAGAGCTGAAATATATTAAAGGAGAAAATTCTCTTATTTGTTGGCAAATTGACAAAACAGACACTGGTTAAAAGAATTAAGAAGGGGTAATCCTTTTTTTAGATTAGCAATATTAACTTTTAAAACATCACCATGCCTTGGAGTGATTTCTGGAAATGCACGTCGTCGGCTCTTTCACAAACATTTATTGTCACACGTCTATTTTGTAACAAGTACACTAACATACTAGTTCAGAAAAAAATTCTAAAATTTTAACATGAATTTTTTAAGAGCTTGCATAAGAATATGCTCTTATTAGATTCTAAGAAATTATATAAATTGATGAAGAAGTTATCTTTACATTGTTTTCATATCTGATTTTTCTTCTTGATTTTCACTGATGGTCTTTGTTATTTCACACACACATTTTTGCAATAGCTTCTGGTTGATCACACTGACTGTCCTCCTCATACATACTACATATTTAAAGCTATATTTCCAAAATATTACTTTAATTGGTTCTGTCTGCTTACAACTAGCTGGGACTTCCTATTGCTTTTAGGCTTGCACTGAAGATTATTATAATCAGATTTCTTCTACTTCTAGCTAGTTATAAAAGAATAACACAGCTTAACATTATTACGAACTGAGACATGGACCTAATAAAAGTTCTGTTTTACAGAACTCTGCAAGACAGAAATCAAGTGTCTATGAACCAAGCATGCCAACTAAACTCAACTATCCTTGCTCCTCTATCCTCCAGTTACAGTGGTTACTTTTCTGTCTGCATGTTTCGGGTTAAACTTCTGCTGATTTACAATGTCCTAAGTCATGAGGGAAGCCTTATCTTCCACTACTCTTGTTTGAAGCCATCCATTACCACACTAGAAAACTATGATTCTTCTCTCCTCAGGACAAAACAAAACAAAACAAACAAACAAAAAACCAAAACCGACCCCCCAAAGCAAACAAAAAAACTTCTTGCTACACCAATCAATCTGCACTTACTCACATTTTGATTTGTCTATTTTGATAAAGGCAGAGCTCCTGTCTGTTTCACTCACTGCTATATCCAAAACCCCAACACAGAGCTTTTAACATCCAGTAGCATAACCAAGTGGTTAAGAGCACAGACTCTGGTCTTTGAGATTTTTAAATAATCTCTCCAACTTCTTGTTCACTCTCTCCTAACAACATGGCCCTTTTTCCCTTGCTCAACATAACAACCTAATTACCACTGTGTCTTTGTACTTCTCTTGTAACTTCAGGGGATGCCCTTCCCCTACAGTTTTCATTGCTGTTTCTGATCATTCTTGGGTTTTTTTGTTGTTGTTTTTTTTTTGCGGTACGCGGGCCTCTCACTGTTGTGGCCTCTCCCGTTGTGGAGCTACAGGCTCCGGACGCGCAGGCTCAGCGGCCATGGCTCATGGGCGCAGCCGGTCTGCGGCATGTGGGATCTTCCCGGACCGGGGCACAAACCCGTGTCCCCTGCATCGGCAGGCGGACTCTCAACCACTGCGCCACCAGGGAAGCCCTGTTGCTGATCATTCTTGACTTTCAAGATAACCCAAATATCCCCTCAAAGATATCTTCTTGCCCAAACAATGTAAAGTAGCCCTTTACCCACCAGTTACATTTATTATTATTATTTTTTTTGTGGTACGCGGGCCTCTCACTGTTGTGGCCTCTCCCGTCGCAGAGCACAGGCTCCGGACGCGCAGGCTCAGCAGCCATGGCTCATGTGCCCAGACGCTCCGCAGCATGTGGGATCTTCCCCGACCGGGGCACGAACCCGTGTCCCCTGCATTGGCAGGCGGACTCTCAACCACTGCGCCACCAGGGAAGGAAGCCCCACCAGTTACATTTTAAAATTACTTTTACTTGTTTTTATTCTTTGTTTTTATATTTTTTGTCAGTTTTAGTACTTTTTATCTTTTTCACAGCACACACCTCTATCAAATTTTTGTTTGCTTGTTTATTGTCTACCTAGTTTCCAAGAGCATGTATGCTCCATGAGAACAATCATTGATTCTGTCTTGTTCCAAACTATATACTCTGAACCCTACCAAACAGCACCTGAGATCTTGGATGTGCTCAATGAATGCTTACGGAATGAGTGGTGAACCAGCCAACAAATTCTTAAAATTCTTCTATAGTTCTTTCATAGCATCGTTATTAGTAAAACAATCGTATGCAGAACTGAAAGGTAAACTAATATGAAATATAGAACTCTATTATATCAAGAAACAAAGTAGTGTTATTAGCTTTATATATCAGCAGTTACTTCTGAAATGTAGGTTAAATCAAACAAAATACTGTAAATGTTAAGACTCACAATATTTAATACATAAATGCTACTATGGAGATAGAGCTAAAATAAAGAAGTTAGCAAACCCTGACTAGCAATCTAGACTTTTGATTTACATATTATCACTGGAAATTTCCCTCTGTAAGTTAGTAACATGAAAAAAACCCTCTCTCTCTGCACAAAAGTAAATGAAATAATTCTAGAAGAATATCTAAAACAATGTGAAGACTACAGGAGAACAAAGTAAAGCTTTGTTCAATGCTTTTGAGAATATCAACTCATTATTCTGGCAGCTAGGGTGGTTTCTAATCACATGTGTTATTAAAATAAAATAATGACAAAAAATGCATTTGCATAGTGTTCTTAAATATACTTTTTAATGTATTCTCATAACAATTCTGGTAGGCAAGGAGTAAAGTTATTATGTCTCCTATTTTAAAAATTAGAAATTTTAGGCATATAAGCTTCAACCTGAAACTATATAGTTTATTTTTACACTTTTATAAAATATGGCATAGTGGAATATTATGTTCAATTTTACCCCCTATTTATCAAGAAAGGAATTAGAGACATAAAAATTGAAAAGGTGACATACATGAATTTGAACTCTTCACGTGTGAAAACAATAACTTCAAAAAATATAATTTAAGTCTAGAAAACTGTGAAGAATATGAATCAGTGAACATGGAAATACTCAGAAAATCCCCAAATATAATATTAAAGGAGAATACTTGAAGCCTAAATAAAATACCTTTAGGATAAGAGGGGGGAAAAGGCTATTTAATTATGCAATTATAAGAAAATACATGGAAATTGGTTATTCCACGAAACCAACAGATTATAAATTCTGAGACATAGGGAAAAAATATTGAGTCTAGTCTAATATTCTAATTTTAAGATTAGAAAAATAATACTTTGCTATTCAGAGTCTGGGAATTCATTGGTAGCAAAAGTTTAGACCATATTAAAAACTAGCTCTCCTGGCACATTCTTCATCAATTATATTACAGAGGTTACAACTTTCTACCAAAAGAAAGCATAAAGTTTCAATTTTTAAAAATCGTGATGTATGAATCTATAAAGAGAAATTAAACAGGGGATATACTACCAAAATGGCAACTACTCCCACAAATTTTTCCTTAATGGGTTCAATGAATAAATGGTCAACATGCCAATTAAGCTTTTAGTGGCAGAGTTGTTATTAGAATTCAGGCCTTGTGGTCTGACTACAGAAATTTACACCGGATACTATAAAATCATAATTGCAGTTTGCTCATTTGTGGACTGAAGTCTGCATGAGAGCAAGTGGTGTGTGTGTATGCATGTGCGTGTTGTGTTTTGGCTCACTAATGTTTTAAAATTATTGGAATAACTGATATTTAAAATTTTGACATTTTCACATAGAAATCTGGATTTTCAAATCAAGGTCTGTTTTCCTCCAAAGTGCACACTTTTTCTCCTTCATCACACTGCCTACATGGGTCTAATAGAACTGTACAACTGGAGACACTGCGGTCCCTTCCAACATAACTGAACCACTGTGCCAGTCTCTAGCCTGAACCCTGACAGTACCCACAACCCAAGAGACTGAAGCATGTCATGGTACCTTTGTCAATTTTCACAATAAGATACAACTCAGATCAGAGAAATGATAAACCTATAATTATGATCAAATTAGCTCTTACCTGCAAAAACTTAAGATATTTGAGGGTTGGTTTTAAAGAAATTACATCTAAATAACTTCAAAACCCAGAAAGAATTAGATATTTGGCTCATTGCTAGTTTCACATTTAGGCAAGCTGAGGCAAAATATGACAAAGTTCCTTTCCCAAGGCCACACACATTGAGACAATTATAGTCAGGAGAAAAATTGTCATGAGTATCTACTACCAGTCTCTGCTTTCTCTACAGATCATGATGTCTCTGAGACAATAACTTGCTTCCTAAAAGTACATATTTCACAAGAAATTAGATGTCAAATATTTTCACAGGTCCAATAATTGTGGCCTTATTTCTTGAATTCCTTTCTGGATAAATTCGTACATGCTTAATAGTCATCTCATTGATGCTTTACACTACTAGATTGGATAATTGGGGAAACATTCATTTTTCCCTAGAAAGCAAATATTGACTGAGTAATATAAATAATTATAAATAATAGTTCCTTATATTTAAAGAGATCTTTACAGTTTACAACTGAGATTCATATAAATTTCACAACAATAAATTAGAGAAAATGCCTATTTCCAAACACCATTTTATAGAAGAAGATTCTGATATTGTTGTCTCGAGTTATA